ATGAAATTGGTTGCAAAACTAAAATCGCTTATAACTTCGTAAATACTGCGTTTTTGAAGAAAATAAGCTTTATCCGTGATCACTTTAAAAATCGATTTTTGGTATGAAATTGGTTGCAAAACTAAAATCGCTTATAACTTCGTTCATACTACGTTTTTGAAGAAAATAAGCTTTATCCGTGATCACTTCAAAAATCGATTTTTGGTATGAAAATGGTTGAAAAACTAAAATCGCTTATAACTTCGTAAATACTGCGTTTTTGAAGAAAATAAGATTTATCCGTGATCACTTCAAAAATCGATTTTTTGTATGAAAATGGTTAAAAAACTAAAATCGCTTATAACTTCGTAAATACTGCGTTTTTGAAGAAAATAAGCTTTATCTGTGATCACTTCAAAAATCGATTTTTTGTATGAAATTGGTTGCAAAACTAAAATCGCTTATAACTTCGTAAATACTACGTTTTTGAAGAAAATAAGCTTTATCCGTGATCACTTCAAAAATCGATTTTTGGTATGAAAATTATTGCAAAACTAAAATCGTTTATAACTTCGTAAATACTGAGTAAATACTGCGTTTTTGAAGAAAATAAGCTTTATCCGTGATCACTTCAAAAATAGATTTTTTATATGAAAATGGTGGCAAAACTAAAATCGTGATCACTTCAATAATCGATTTTTTGTATGAAAATTATTGCAAAACTAAAATCGCTTATAACTTCGTAAATACTGAGTTTTTTAAGAAAATAAGCTTTATCCGTGATCACTTCAAAAATCTATATTTTGTATGAAATTGGTTGCAAAACTAAAAAAAACTTATAACTTTGTAAATACTGCCTTTTTTGAAAAGAAATATATTTTCAGAACAAATTGCTACATTCAGGTTAACATATGGATAAGAAATCACATAACAATAAAAAATCTCACCTCGTCTCTCATGGGGCTGTTTGTTTTGACCATGTAGCAAGATGCTTGTTTATTGAAGCATTTATATGAATGTTTATTAATTGTAATTAGTTATTGCTGTGAAAAAGATCCTAAAATAAAGCAAAAATTGATTTTTTAAAGTAGATTTTATATAAACAATCGACCACGATGACTGGGATAGAAATTTTAAACTGAACTGAAAATAAAGCGATTATGAGTTTGTACATTTTAAATTACACACGAAACTAGAAGTGAAATTTACTTTTACGTTTCGTCTTCTTTTTTTACAAATAATTGACATTAAATACTAGTTTTATAAACAACAATACACAAAAAAAAACTTTAATTATCAACGTTTTTTTATATATAAATAAATGTTTAAACAAAAAACGCTAATAAGATTAATGTAAAACTTGTTTCGGTTTTTTGAAGAATATTTAAAAAACCCCATTTTGCATAAAAAAGTTCTGAAAGTTTTATTGTTGTTTATAATTACATTTAGAACTCAAATTTACTTAATTGCCATCCATGTATCTGCTGGCAAAACGAGAAAAAATAGAGAAATTTTTAAATATTTTTTTTAATACAACAAGTAGAAAAAAATAAAAAGAAAAAAAAATAAACATCATAAAATAGAGACAAATAATACATCATTACGATGATTTATGAGTTAAAAGTTTTAAAATAAGAAAACAAAATATAGATAAGAATGTTTAGCGAGAGATCTTGATTGGTTAATGTGCTTTTTTTAAGTTTTTGTTAAATGTATTTAAGCATTTATTAAAATTAATTTGTCGTTAAGTCTAAGTTAGTAAGACTAAATTAGTTAGAGCGCACAACAGGCCCGATAGTGGCCTAGGTGTATTTCTTCGGATTTGATGTAGTATACATCCTCCTATCAACCTAACCTAATCTAACCTATATAACCACATGTAATCATTAGCAAAAAAAGAACTTCGAAAGAATCTTTTTGGAAGTTACATGATTCCTACCTCATATGGAGTCCTTTAGAAAAGTATATTTTGATCTCTATAATAAATAAATTAAACTGAATATGTGAGTTTTTTTTATATAATAATTGATCGATTAGGAACGTAATGTAAAATTAATAATTAATTAATTATCTCCTAAAAATATTTGTATACTTAGGGGTTTGTATTTTAATCATATTATACCCAACGAACATTTTATTCGTAAGTTTTGTTATAATTTCACAAAATCGATTTAACATTCACTATAGCCCAGGAAAATTAGTCGCAAAAATGAGCAAACTGGGGAATTTTAGATAGCTAAATGGAAGTCGGTACAGGGCTTCATCTCAGAGTCTTAATTAAGGGGCTAATAATCACCATTAATCCCACGCTAAGTGAGATATTGGGGGCCAAAGGTTACAAAGATTTTTTAAAAGTATCTAACTTATTGTGATTCCTATGACTTTAGAAGCTATAGTGTATTATTAATCCATTGACATATATTTTCAAATTTTAATTATTGACCGATTGTCATAAAATTTTGTAGAGAGATTTCGGTTAACATTTTAACTCGTTTATGCAGACATTTTTAAGTCAATTAAGATCATTAAAGCCATTTTCTGAAGAGGTCCTTATATGGTTGACCGATCGTCATAAAATGTTGTAAATAGATTTCGGTTAATATTAAACTTGTTTATGTCAAATTTTATTGCTATAAAGGAATTTTTAAGTCAGTTAGGAACGTCTTTTTCTGAAGAGATCTTATATGTATGGGGTTGGGGTCAATTATGGACCGATCATTATTAAATTTGGTAGATTGTTTCCGCTATTAATAAAACTCGCTTATGTCGAATTTCACTACTTTGCTCGAATTTTAGTTATGATTGATGAAAACGCTATTTCGGGGGTCTAACAAACATGCATCAATATAAAATAGTTCAGACCTCTAGCTTTTTCCATTCGGACCCTATCGTGTTTTCAACAGAAGAATCAGAAAGCGTACGACTCATAACAATCGATATATTCGTAAAAACTGATTGTTGTGATCTTTGAGCGCCAATCGCTTTATTTTTTATTAATGGTAAGGAGAAACTATGTACCAATTTTTACTCAGCTATCTAAAATTCCGCAGAAACCCATGTATTTTCCTGACAACTAAGGATTTTACAAATTATGCTTCTGATAGAAAAGGAATGAGAGGCGTAAACCTAAATGTTTGTTGGGTTAGTAAATAGTTAACTACGTCACAGTCACGACTATGAAAACAAACTAATGAAGTTGCATGCTTTTAGGCTTTTAATAATATTTACGTTATTTTATATGAAAATAAATCCTATAGTTTATAAATAAATACTATTTATTAAATTATTTTCAAACACATTCAACCTATACTATTTGTAAATAACTTTAGTTTTATAAACAAAAATAAAAGTTATGTGTCTGACTACTGCACACCTGTGTGCAGCAAATGCCGGCCGGTTAAAATGTTCGCTGAAAGATTTATTTGTTTATAAAATTGCGATATAAACATGTCAACAACAATTTATTAAACCCTCTCATCAAAAGTGCGGATAATAATTAATAAAATGTGATTATTTTTGCTAGTTATGTTTTGACAGTAGGTTGAGGTTGATAACTTGCGTTCGTTTGTTTGTACTTGCGCAGTCTTGGGAGCATTATACTAAAAAAAATATTTAATAATTTTCCCTTAGTTAAACAGTGTTGCCATGGAAAATAACATGGTATTAATAAAACAAATTATTAAGCTATAAGAAATCTGTTAAGAATGAGAAGACTAAATTTATATTTTACAATAAGTTAAAGTATAGTTTTTAAACATTTTCTGTAGCAGCTAAACTTTAGTTTAAATTTCAAGTTTAAGAACTGTGAAATGTGGCAACTTAGGCAAGCAACCCTTATTGTGAATGTAAACAGATTTGCACAGATTTTGAGGATACTTAAGCACGAGGGTAGTCAGTCAACCAGTCAACCCTCTACATAAACAAGTTCTTTCCTTCCTTTCAAATTCTCCTCTGATATTATACCGCCATGTGCTTGTGTGTACTTAACATAAAAAAACTACTTATTTAGACAAATTTCCAAAGAATGGACCACTCACTCACTCATATGATAGAGCAAAACTAAAGATGGCGCCAAAAAATATTCCTAAACAAGAACTAATAAAAAAAAGGATAAAATAGTTGTTACACTGTTGGCAAAAGCTCAGTTGTCGACGAAACCTTTAAAAGGGCACAACTCAAATTAACCGAGAAAAATAAAAAAAAAATCTTCAAATAGTAATTGAAATCTTTAAGTTGTGCAAAAAATAAAGCAACAAAAAAAACAATTGTGTATGTTAGTTGGTGTATTGTAATAACTGTTTGTTGTAGTTGTTGTTTCCACTTTTACAGACGGTACAGAAATTTAATGTGATGTGATTTAAATTCACCTTAAGTGTAGCAATTATTCAATTTACTGTGATTTAGAGGCTGTTTATTTAATAAAATCAACTGAAATGAAACCAAAACCCCGATTTTTGTTTCTATGTAAATAGTTTCAACACAAATCAAATAAAATGAAACGACAAATGAGAATCAACACTCAAAATGTTATAAACACTAGTCAATGAGCCTTAAATGATTATTACTCGTACATATGGATGTCCGTCCTTATAAAAAAATGCATAATTTCATGTAGTCACCATAAAGCCGATAGGCAGACAGGCAGACAGACTTACAGACAAACAAACAGGAAATCTGATGAACTATCAGATAAAGCGACAGACCGACCGACTGACAGACAGACATGACGTAATTACGCCTTTTTCCCCCAATTTAACATACAATTAGTTAAACTTGTAAATCGTGTGAATTGTGACTGTGTGTAGGTGAATTGTATATTTTGCATGCAAGTGTATTGCTGTTGTATATGTGTGTTGGTTGGGGATGTTTTATATAATTTTAAGTGACAAAAATCTCTTGAGTTTAAAACACTTACGTGTAGCAATCATCACTTAGAATGCTGCTGCTGGTGTGACTGCAGATTGCTATTTTTAAACAGAGCTGTTGTGCGGTGCAAATAGTCATCGAAACAGCTGTTGAGCGTAGTATTTCGCAAGCAACCAACAGCAACGGTTCTAAAATATTTAAAAAATAAACTTTAAGATCAAAAAAGTGTTTTACACGTTCTAAAACGTTTAATCGTTAATTCGTTTTTTACGTAATTATTAAAAAATCTATAAATCGATTTTTGTTATTATTTGCCTGCAACTTGCACGTGCTATAACATCCATATGTACTTGTAGAGTACATGAATAAATACATATTCGTGTGACTCTCTTTTTCTCTGTTTTGCTATTTTTTTCTAACACTCTAACATAAATAACAAATCGTAACTCGGTTTTTACGTTAAACTTGAATCCATTCATATTTCTATTTAAAATTGCAAACGTATCTAGATATAGTTCATGTTTAATTGTGTGTGTTTTTATATATTTTTATTTATTCTAATCAAAACAAAAAGGAATTTCAAATTCACATTGATATAAGGTTTTTTGAACCTGTATGAACAGCGGGTAAGTTTTATTTGTAAACTCAAGTTTTATTTAAAATGATTCATAAAGATTCACAAAAGTACGTCAACAAAAGATTTAATTTCTACGTAAATTTATTAGGTTGGCCTTTCAAATATATTCAAAATACCAGGAATTTTTACAAGATCACATGTTTTTATCGAAAATACTTCATTGATCAACCTTTGAGAGACAATTTCAAACCTAAATTACTGATTAAACATCAATAAACTAGTTGAAATAAGTAAAAAGATATGTTTTAGTATAAAATATTGTGCAAATTTTAAAAAGAAAATATTTTAGATAGAAAACATAGTGACAATAGTCAAACAGCATCATTTGAGATTAACAATCTAAATCCCTTTCTTTTCCCACTAATTAAGATACTATTATTAACTCAATAAGACTTGAAAGACAGTATTCAATATGTTCAACATTCGTCTCAATTCGTATGTCCAAATTTCTATAGCTGTGCCCGTAATACTAATGTGTTCCCTCAGAATACATACCGTCATACTAATCTCAGACTAGCTCATTTTAAGGAAGCTTTTTGTCCTGCTCTGCTTAGAGTCACCCCATAGGATCTTTGTGGTTCTATCTACCGTTTCATTATTCCAAGAGGCCTTATGGGTTTCTCTCACCCATATTTCTGCCCTCGTAGAGTCAAATGGTAGCGTCGAGGTAGGTTAACTACCTCGAGCATTCCCTCAATTTAAATCTATTACAGTCGCTTTTTCGTTGCCGACTACTCCCGAGTGGCCTGGTTATGATATAAACCTTACCTCTAGGAGAGTATTCAGTTAGAGCTTTTTTACAATCCAACACGGCGTTAGATTTAACTTTATCATCTGATGTCGCCCCAATTGCCTTCTGGCTGTCGGTAAATATGTTAAGCCCTGTGGGAGCCATATTAATTCTAATCCAATTTACGCATTCCGCTAACGCTCGGACTCCGCCTAAAATCTAGTGTTGTGATTAGGTAAACGGTGGTATATTTCTGTTTCTGGATCTTCAATATAGAACTCCAGGCACCAGATTCCTTTGGGTATTTGCTCTAATGTTCCGCTTGACCAAGACATTCTATCGGTGGCATCAGTGTTTCGAAGTTTCCGACATATTCTGTGTCTGGTATGCGATCGGACACATCCGATGATTGCGTATAGCCTTCCAATGTGTCTAGTATACATTGATGATGTGTCTTGTAACCGCTTTTGACCAGTTCGCCTAAAATTTTGAGCCGTTCGGCTATAAGTGTCGCTACATATCTTATATATATATCTAGCAACGTTTCCAGAGCCTAGATTGAAATAGTACTCATGGCACCATTTATAAACAAGCTGAATATATGCTGAACTCTTTAAATATATATTAAACTCCCTGTAGTAGTTTGATATTAGACTTTTTATTCAAAGATGTTCCTTGTTGATCCCACCTCTACGTGGTGTCTTAATTTTAATTTCCGGTCAAGGATTACATTAATAAGTACTTAACTCTGTCCGTCACTGATATTTTCTTGCCTAGGAAACAAGGTACTTAGAAATGTTTGTCTTTCTTGTGAAAAGACAGATTATCGTCTTCGCCGAGTTAACATTGAGGTCTCTAGGTTGAGCCTAGCACAAGGGCGTATTCAGGACCTTTTTAGCTCTTCTACACAAGTAATTTGGATCCTTTACCCTTATAAGAATAACAACATCGTCTGCATAGCAGACAAATCTAAATCCGTAGAAGGCTATTAATCGTGGTAACCCAAAGTAAAAGGGACAAAATGCTACCCTGTGGCTTACCTCCATTAAATTAATCGATTAAAATAAGATACAGTTGATATACTTTTGTAATATTTATTAACATTGTCTGACTATAAGATATCCAGATTGGATCTAATATTTTTCAACGAAAGAGTCAATTGTCCAATTCACAATCGGCGTCGTAACGTTGTAAGTCATAATATCTTATTATAGCTTTGTTTTTGAAACAAAAACAAAACTTAATATAACAATTACGACATACAACGATACAAAGCTACGACGCCGATTGTGAATTGGTCAAATATAAAGGGAATATAAAGTTTACCATCGACACGTGAGCATATGTTGTAACTATTTACTGCAAAATTTCTTTATAATAAAAGATACAAAAATATTATTAAATTGTTTCTATACATATCATTAACTTAATTGGTAAATATTATAGTATATTAATTGTATTTCTAGTTTTTGTTTAATTAATATATCATTTTATCGTACTTAGGAATCAAAGTAATTGTTGATTTCCTTTCAATTAAAGTCATAATCTTGATGTTTCCGTTCCGCATGTTAATTAACAATAAAAATAAACTTAAAGTTGTAAATAAATCATTGTAATTATTTTCTTAAACAAAAACAGTGACACTTTACTCCTAATACAGTGGCGTCTTATATTTAAAAAAATACTAATAGTTTAATTTCAATTTTCATTTCTGACTGAAAAATCTTTTAATTTTATCTTTATAAATATTAGGAAAGTTAATGATACCACAGGCCGACAAATTTTTAACCAAAAGTCCCAAGTATTCTATTCTAAAAGACTAAGCTGTGATGAATGCGAAATTGGCCACAGAATTTCTCCATCAAAAAAGTGGGATGGGTTCCTTAATGGGCCAGTAAATTTTACCTATACCTAATACTTTAATCTATAACGCTATAACGATGACGACAATTAAAATATTTTAACATTTTTTTGGCAAGTTGATTCGCTGGTTCGAATTGCACAAAAAACTCTTAAAACAGCTCCGTAACGACAATTTCTCTTGTTATTATTACTATTAATCAGCAGACTCTTCCCCACTTGTAACTTAAAAATTCTCACTCTATTTTTGATCCATGTTAAATGTTAATTCATATTTATTTTGTTATCACCATAGCCCTTATCTTGTACGATTGGAAACACAAGAGATGATAATAAATACATTGTATGATGAACCTACTCGTGTATAACAACATACATTTATATAGCAACCCAATAGTTCAGCTGAGACTTTCGGAATTAACAATTTTGAACAATCTATTGAGTCATAATTGATTTCTTAACGGTTATGGGAATAGTTATTTTGGAAGAGTCCAGTAGATTGTTTAAAACAATTTACAACAATTTACTCTTTAACCGAATAGAACCAATCATTTTAACATTATTTTCTGAAACGCCATTCTTCGAGAAGTAGTTCCAATTTTGAATATAAAAATATAGTTTCCATACATTGTGAACTATACAATAGAGAAATATACGAAATTATGGTTTATAGGGCAAATTTTCTTTATAGGGCTAATTTTTTATTGACAGAGGTTATATTGCCACTATTAAAACTGAGGGGAATAGTGGAAAATATATATATAATGTTCGTACATATACTTTTACGAACAATTAAATTAAAAATTATATTAGAGACCTCAGTAATATGATTATTATTCCACTCAACAATGTTTTGGCAAACGATATTTTTTAAGGCTAAAGTATTTAGATATTTCGGATTCAGACTAGACAAAGAAAATCGTTACAAGTCGATGGTATTAATATATAAAAATATAAAAAAAAATATTGTATATGACAATGTTTAATGTGATTACCAGAATGATAACGCTTTTTACAACAAAATCGGCATTATACTGTTTTTTAACTTTCAAACGTATCAATTCCGAAATCCCGAATTTTGATTTATTTCAATCTTGTGGTGAATGATCTGCAATTGTTAAAAATTTATATAATATTACTGAACTCAACATGTTGGCCTGAAGTTAAAAAGGAATACAACAAAAGATTAAAAATAAAGAACCTAGACTAAATTGTCCAATCAAATTAGAGTTTTGTTGCTGAATTTTAGATATTTACATACAAATAATTTTGTGACATTTGACCCCATATGTGCTAGGGTAAAAATAGTGTTTTTAAACGTCTTATATAGGTTCAAAGTTCGTCTAATTATACTGAGCTTGTATTAAGTCAAATGAATCGATCTAAACTTGAACTTGTATAGATTCGTCTTGGTAATAAATTAAACCTTGTTAATAGCTTAAAATTTTCTGTTTAAACTTAATTTATTAGCCAAATTCTCATGGTTTTGAAATAGCATTTTCTCTTTTTTTTCTCTCTTTGTTTTTATTTATTGTTTGTTTACTTCACAACAGTGTTGCTAATTTAACTTTTTTGTTTGTTTTCTTCGCAACAGTGTTGCAAAATTAAATTTTATTAACGAATTTAACTTTTTGGCCGGGTTTAAAAAAGGACATTTTGATATTGAAATTATTTCTTCTTGTTCGATATCGAAAAAAATAATTGTTAACAAAAAAATGTTGGCTACGGATATACTAAAAAGTAAGTACTTAGGTATATAGTTATCTAAGTAATGTAGGCGGTATATAGTAGTCATTGAAAAATAAGTTTTTGAGTAAGAACAAGCCATTACCGTATTTTTGCTGGATTACAACTTTTTTTAACTAATAATATAAACATTTCTGAATTTAACAAAATTCTCAAAATTTGAAAATTTGAGAATAACAACTGATTTAAGACCTTATTATAAAACGAAATATCAACACGTTTTGTACCAAGTTTTATTGGACTTTTTTTTATTAAATTATAAAATTGATAATACTGGTACTTAAACCTCCCAATCTATGGCTCTCTCACTCATTCTCTTTGGGTTTCATTTCTGAAATATTATTATTATTAATTACTGAGCATTTTGCTACAATCTTATTTTGTTTTTTTCCTCTTGCTTTTCTTTTTGCTGAATGTGATGATAATAGTGTTATTTATTATTATTGTTATTGCTATTGGTGTAATAGACAGTATTATTATTATTATTGTTATTAAGTATGTTTGTAGTCGGTTGTATTAAAACAAAAAGTATTACTATTTTTGCCAACAGCTAATAACCAGCAGCGTTGTTTATTTTCTGTTTTCTGATTCAGTAACTCTTCGAATGCCAAGGAAAACAAACGTAAGCATAAATTAAATTATTAATAAAAAAGAATTTAATTTACACCTGCATTTAAGTGCAGCTTTCAGATTTATTATTTTTTTTATTTAAATCTTAAGGTGTAAGAAAACAAAAACAATTAACAAGTTCTTTGTATTGTATTTATACATTATTGCTTTCTTTAAATTAAAATGTGATTAAGAGTTGAAGATTAATTCAAGAGTTAACAAAAAAAAAGATATCGAAAATATACATAATTTGTTTTCAATATTGTGCGGTTTGACAAAGTGACGTTTTGTGTTGATAATGAGGTATTTAATAAAAGTAATAAAAAAACACAATTATATGAACATATAAACAGTGATTTCTCGTTTTAGTGAATTAACGTAAAACATGAGAAAACAATTAAAATATTATTGTATTAAAAAACTCGATCGAAATAACAAAAATTAATGAAATCCATTCCGATCGGTATAGTTAGAAGATGTCTTGGACATTTATGATCCATTCGGTATAGTACTAAACAAACATATCTATATATAGACTCTTATCATAGTCCACCTAAGAGTGATCTTGGCAAAATTATCCAGCAAAAACTTACATTGAAAAGTAATGAGTTAAAAAGTTAAAAATACGCTTTTCACTAATTCTTCATTAGCATTTTAACTCACCATACCATACCCCCTTACAAATAACGACTTAAATAGGTACTTAAAAAAGGTACATAAAACGTCAAATTTAAAACAAAGTACTTACATATCTGATTATATGTAAGTCATCATAAGTACTTATAAGTAATGCAGATGGTATGTAGTGGCCACTGAAAAGTAGGTAGTTGTTTAAATACAAGACTTTTTCGAGTTTTTGTGGATATGTTAAATAAAATTTGACATCACTCAAAATGATACAGAAACCAGAGATTCTAATCTCTTCTTACGTTAAAAAAAAGTTCCCAATAAAGATGTGACCATTAATATAAAATTATTGAAGATTTGGATCCTGAAGATATCGGGGGACTTTACAGACAGACAGCGCACATGGATTAGGCTGATGTCAGAGTAGGCGCTACAAGCGATGCGAAGCTTTGCGCTACAAACTTTTGCTTGTGTTTTCTCGCATCAAGCTTCGCCTTCACTCTGACATGACACATAAGAAAACACAAGGAAAGGTTTGTAGCGCAAAGCTTCGCATTGCTTGTAGCAGGTACTCTGACATTAGCCTTAATCGACTTCACCGGAATATATATACTTTATAGGGTCGGAAAATTATATTGTGGAAATTACAAACGGAATGACAAACTTCTCACAAAGGTGAAGGGTATAAAAAGCTAAATTTCTTAAAGGGAGCCTTAAGAATGAATAATCTTTATTTCCGCAATTGACTCTCATATGTATCTTCAAAACTTATTTATGGTTTAAGATATTATCACATTTCTTATCGTTCGTTAAACCGGGAATCTATTATAATATTTTGTATATAAACATGTGTTATAATGTTATAAATGATTTTATCAAAAACAAAGCAAGAAAAAAAAAAACGCACATATTGTTAATTTCTGGTTGAGAACCGTGTCATAACTCAATAAAATATAAAATTTCACTTTATAAAATTATTGCTTATGAGATCAGTCATTGTTTCAGTTTTAAAATTAATTTCTTTGGATAATTATAAAAGTTTTTAATTTTAATGAGTAATTAACTTGTTATTAAACTTTTCCCAATATAATATTAACAAGTAAATGCAAATTAACTGGAGGCGCCACCAACGACGTGTGATTTGCACTAAACAGATTTAATTAGGGGGAATTTTCCAAAAATTCTTAAAACATGAAGTTAGTATTATTACTCACTCGGCTTGTAGTCTCAGAAGTTTCTATTCTACTACTTTTCATTACTCTGTGGTAAAAATTTAGGTAATAACTATTACTGGCTACTTTTATGTGTTATTAAAACACCCGATTTCGCTTTAAAATAGAAGATGCTGAAAATGTTATATATTATCAAAATATCGAGTAGTTACTATTAAAAATCGAGTTACGGAACTAGATTCTGGTGAGGTTTCCAACTAGCGCGAGCATGTATTTAGCTGCAGGCGGTTCCAACCCTTGCTCTCCAGACCCAAATCCGAAGAAAAAACTACAATAAACAAAATACTGGAACTAAACAAACTAACACAATCACATGAAGAAATTCCAAGACATCTGTTCTACTCGTCTACCCTCGCAACCATGTAGTAGCTGCATCTACATTCTATTTAGGTTGGGAGTGCAGATGAGACGAACATCTGTCTTTCTCCGCCTGGATATGAACAAGCTAGTTGGAAACCCCCTCAGAATCAACTTCCTTAACAGTACTCAAATATATACAGGTATTCCTTTTAAAAATCTCATACTCCCTTTCTAATTTTTAATATTCCAATTTTCAATTTCTTTATTCCAATAACCTAGCCTACATAGGCCATAATCGGTTATAAATGTCTACTTATTTCAACCTTTCTTCTACCTTTCTGGTATTGTCCAAGAGGTTAATACTCAGGAGAATAAATGGTTACCAAACTATTCCCTGTTGATCAAAAATCTTCGAAAAATGCACAAAATAGGTCAAACAACATAAGCATAACTATGAGACTGATCCGAGAAAGAACCATATGCACCTGTTATAGGGTGGGGATAAGCACGTTTTTTCACATTCGTGCTTTTACAAATCTGCTTTAAACGTTTCTATTTATCTGTTAAATTATTTGAATTGTAACTTTAATTTGTTTCATGTTCAGTAAATACTTGTCTAGTAAATGTTTACTTTATTTACATCATTAATATTAATAAATTCAAGTTACATTATTAATTTAAAGTATTTATTAAATTAAAAGAAAAATTCCTCATAAAAAATCCCATATTTTTTTATTCATGTTACTTAAGCTGTAACTGAAACGTGATAAATTCTATGAAAAACACTTAAAGACATTATTATAGTCTTTACTTTCTCATTTATTCAAAATCAATCACGACAATTGGATCTTCGATCTGGAACGACCCGAGTCATACTCGGGAATAGCTTGTCAACCCAGTGACAGCTGTATCAACCGAAAGTGTTTTTCCCCAAAAAAGAACAGTCAAACTGTTACAACAACAATAAATTTTTTAAATAAAATTATTAAAACTTTTAAACGTTTTAGTAGAAAATAAAATTTTCTTATCAAAATTTGTTTTATAAAGCTTTAATAAATTCAAAAAAAAAAATAATATAAACAAGACCTTCGTGTTTAAAACCGAAAATTTTCAAAAATATCTATACTTTGTGTTTAATAAAGCATGGTTTTGTTAATTTAAATTTCACTTTTAATTTGCAAGTTTGAAGTACAAATTAAAATTATAATGATTTAGAATTTGCCATTTTAGCTCATTATTAAGTATTTTTAAATGCAAGTGCAAACATACAAATAGAAGCAATTAAATATAATTGGTTAGGGAAAATTAAATTAAAAAAAAACAAATTAATGATAAATATTACGATTATAATTTGCAATTTATATCATGCAATAATATGCTAATAATGAATTTTAGCTATAATTTTAACATTATTATCTATATTTACTCTCCTTTTAACATTTTTAAGCTTGTCAAATGCACAGAGGCAAATATTTAATTTTTTTACTTTCTTTACTTGCAGCACACATACCACTTAAAGGACAAATAAGACTTTAACCACCTTCAACTAATTGCTTAACCTAGACATTCATAAAGTCAACAAACCAACCATTTTTCAGCAGTATCACTTTAACAGTTGCAGCATTCAAGGCCCCACTTTTGAGAATGGAAAAAATCTTGAAATAAGTTTTATTTGAACAGTTAAATTGAAGTGGCATATTTGAACAGATTGCACAATAAAGGGGGTCTGTCATTTGCCGCTAAAAAATCCCTACAGAAATGGATTTGAAAACATCAAGTATAAGTGAAACATCAGATCCTTATTTGGCTCCTAGTAAATCAACAGATTTAATAAAACCCAAAGATGGTCTGGAAAAGGATACATCATCAATTGCAAAGGCTAATGAAGGTAATTGAAGGAAAGGAAAAAACAATTTATTATTTTCCAAAACCTTTCTCTTGCTGTAGCTACACAATTAGGAAAATAAGTGTTGTTGTTGTTGTGCTTGCACATAACTTGACCTAAAATGAAAAAAAAGAAACAAAAAAGAAAATACAAATACATCTTGGTACTGGTGTCATGTTTTTTATTCAGCATTCTGCAGCATGTTTTTACTAGGAAATCAAAAAGCTCTTGACCTTACAATTCTTTATTTAAGATATAATCATCACATGTATGTATGTATGTACATACATATTTACATACATATTTATTTATATACGTAGCTATACAGGTGCGGGTTCAAGAGAGGGCAAACCAAATATTTCTCATTGTGAAAAAGAAAAACTATAGTATTTCACCTCCTTAATCTTGAATTTGTAAACACGCCTCTGCTTATGCCTCCTACAATGTGTGTCTACACAAGTATACTCTGAAAATATAGTATACACTTAGACGTAGAACACTAAAAAATGTATAGCATGAATATAGGCTTGCTGCTAAAAATATAAAAATGTTATAGTTGTTTTATGTTTAACTAAAGGCATATAAAGAAACTAACAAAAAAATACTTAACTTGCAGTTAGTAAAAACGTTTTGTTAACGTTTGACATACCACGTAACACTTACGTTTACTATTTATGTTTCAAATAACCTGTACCACCTTTCTCTAACACTTTAATTTTAGCACCCTGTATGTATGCAATTTATTTGCACAATTCTATTTAACTTACAATTATAATTATTTAGAGTATAAAATACAACGTTTTACATTTATTTACAGAATATAAAGTTTACAAACGCAGATGGGCTGTTCTGATATTGTTCGCTTTTTATTCGGCCTCAAATTCAATGCAATGGATTCAATATAGTATTATTAATAACATTGTAACCAAGTACGTTAAATACACTTATAATTTTAATAATTCTTATCTTTCAACATTTGGTTACTATAAATAAAATGGTCGATTGGAGAAATAGTTGATTTTTTTTATATGGAAATTAAAATTAATCGGAATAAGTTTCTTGCTTTCAAAAACGTATATTACAGTTTAGATGTAATAGATATATATTACTATTTCAAAAAACAAGTAAAAATTTTATATTCGGACATGTCGAATAATATACTATATATTCACCTCAGTCAGTGAATGTCAATAACGGTATTATTTATCGCTAAATATGTATTTTAAGTTGTATTATAGTTGTGTATTAAAATCTTGTCATAATAGTAGATTTAGCACGTCTGTGGACTAAGTTAACAATATTATTTATGCAGTTTTAATTTAAAAACTTAATTTGAAAATAAATTAATATTTTGCAATAAATAAAACATTATTTTTATTAACTTTTTTAGTACTTTTTTAAAAACTAGCACTTTATGGTAATAAATCAACACAGAACAGAATATGTATTTGTGATTTCAACAGACAGACAGGCGATCGGATATGCTCTTAGAACCTTATAAGGCCCCATAATACATATACAAACGGTTATAAACGTAACGACAATATCATCTTTTTTGATATTTGATAAAATTCCGGAAACTATTTATATCTCAGAATATATACATAAATATATAATATATCACTTTTAAACAAAGTCAATTATTACTCCGATTTATATATCGACATTTAACTTTTTGCTTATTTTTTTCGGTAGCCAAAATGTTGATATTGTTTTTCTAAAATTTTCTAAATATCAAAGTCTTTATTTATTTATTAAATAATTTTTAGATATTATGGTGTCAGTGATAAATGGATTGACTGGACATCAATGATATATATGATATTGTATATACCATTGATATTTCCGGGCAGTTGGTTCTTAGATAAAATGGTAAGAGAATAATAAATTTTAATTAAAAATATTTTATCATCAAGCCATAATAAAATTTTCCATAATAAAATTATTTAATTTCATTTTTAGGGTCTTAGAATTACAGCTTTGGTTGGAGTTTTTGGTACTTGTATTGGAGCATGGATTAAAGTATTCTCAGTTGGTCCAGATTTGTTTTTTGTAGGCTTTTTTGGTCAAAGTATAGTGGCTTTATCACAGGTAAGACAAAAATATATGCATACATATGTTATTACATATTTAAAGAAAAAAATCTAGGTTGGCAACCGTTTTAAAACTGTGATAAGGTAGCGGTATCGGTATTTTGACTTATTTCGGTATTGGTATTTTAGCGTTATCGATATTTCGACTTATTTCGGTATTGGTATTTTAGCGTTATGGGTATTTCAGCTTATTTCGGTTTCGGTATTTTAGCGGTAACGATAGCTTAGCGATAACGGTTGCCACCTTGAAAAAATATAAAAATGAAAATCCTAAAATTCGGCTCTTTTTTCTTAAATAGCTTCTTATCCTTTAAATTATAAAAAACTGATATTTTATATTGAGATTATCTAAAAATATAATTTATTTTTTATTATATTTCTTAGGTTTGCATTTTATCATTGCCGGCTCGTTTAGCAGCAGTTTGGTTCGGTCCCGATCAGGTATCTTCAGCGTGCAGTGTTGGCGTATTTGGTAATCAGGTGAGTGCGATTAATCAGTTTATTATTTAATACAGGTCTTTGGAGAAATTGTCATCAGGGTTTGAGAAAAACCTACTCTTGTACAAAACATTAGAGTAAACGAAATTAATAACAAGTAAAAAACAAGACGAATCGTAAATACCCAGCTATAAAACAGATCTTAAATTTTTAAGGAAATTTCGGATAGTAGCCCTTAATATGGACATATGCATAGATTTATGCTGAATTTTATTTATTATCATATATTGATATGAGCATAAAATTGATTTTTAGGAGTGGATTTTTAAGGGGATAGGATCCATTATGGAATGAGCTCTTTTTGAAATAGTGTTTATTTTTTTTAGAACAAATTCTTTTTCTCCAATTTTTCTTAATACCATCGATCGATTTTGGTGCTTATAAACGAATTTTATCTACATAGTTTTCTGAAAGGAACCTTATATGGGATCTAAAGGGCCTAATATGGAATCTAGGGGACCTTATACGGATTCTAGGTTACAGACTTATGCACATTTTTATTACGGTTGCTGCATAATTAACATATTTATAACTATTTAAACTGTATCTCTAAAGCCACATGTATGAGAACTAAATGGAATCGGGGACCATAATGTATTGCAATCTTTTATTTTCAAAGTGAATATTTATGGAGGATTTCTCCCTTCTTCCTCCCTTAAATATTACTTATCTTAATTTCAAAACAAAGACGGATGACAAACATGTCTAAATCGGCCCCTTAATTCTCGATCGTTATTAATTTACAGTTTGTGGTTCTGAGACCAATATTTCAGTGGAATTACAAAATCAAACTTTTTACTTAATAAACATTCAAGTGCTTTTAAAAATCACTTAACAGTGTTTTATCTCCAATTTAAATATGTAATTGCCATATTTACTTTGAACGTTAAAATATATGTATAATAATTTTTTGACATACTAATTTAGTCAGAATATTTTAAACTAAAAATCATGTTTGTTTTTTTGTCATTACCATTTTCTAAATTGAGCCAACAATTAATTCCTAAAACTAGTTAAACTTTAATTACTAAATGCACTGTTTTCTATAAGTATGATGGTAGAAGGATGTCTAATGCAAAGTTCTTTAACTATGTAAGTACCAAGTTGTACTAAAAAGGTAGAAATTATCAAGACAAAACTACTTGTTACTTGTGGGATATACAAACTACACACTTGTCAGTGAAAAATCATAGCCAAGTAGGTGGAACGATAAACACTCTTTGACTTTTTTTTTAGCTGAAACTTAGGAATGCGGAAATCTTCCCAAGAACTGCAGGGCATTTAAACGTGGCAAAAGTCATCTAACACTTGCAAAATGTACACAAACGTACTCGCATAAGAATGATACTTTTATATAAGTAATCTTGAATATTTTTTCAATATTTCCCTTGTTCAGTTAGTTCATTTACTTATTTACTTATGAGTATGTAAGCACTTTATATACATACTTACATACATACATGGTGTGAATAAATGCATTTACCTAACATAAGTTCAAATTAAACAACATTGTATATTTTAATATTTGACTTACTTGCCATTTTATGTAAATGTCGTCAGAATTAATTTATTTAATTTTGCAATCTGCACAAATCATTAAGAAGGGATAACAAGAATTTCATATTACGTATATTTAATTGGCATTTTAATAATTGACCTTGTTATATGTATATTCCACACTTCGCACCGGCAACAATTGTCATTATTAATGGAGTGTATTTTAAATATTTATATCAAATTTACATTAACCTTGCATTCGATTTAAGTGGAATTCAATGCAAGAGCAAGGAAAAACACTTTCTAAGTACTTACTCATTTAGAGGGCAAAATTTTAAGAATTTTTTTGATAGAAAATGTTAATGAAATATAACAAATAGGAGTGTTTTATTGGTTTGTCTTAAGTAAAGAGCTCGCTTATGTATTAAGTTCCCCTCTTCTTCTATTTACGACCTATCGCATTTTAATAAAACAGTTTGTTATTAAAATTGTTACATCCCGAAAATGTTTAGTTGTAGTGATAAAATTTATATAATAGTTACTTGTCGCAAAAAGGTCCTGCCAATATTTATTTTTATTTTACTTTCAGTTGGGCGTGGCTCTTGGTTTTGTTCTACCACCTATGTTGGTGGCAAATTCAGATGATCCGGAACTTGTGGGGCATGATTTACAATGGATGTTTAATTATGTTGCAGGAATAACAACAGTGCTGGTCATTTTAATGGTTTTATGTAAGTACATTTCCTAAATCGAGCACATGTTTTTGAGCATCTTTTTAATAAATCCGATTATTTGATATACTTTACAGTTTTCCAAGACAAACCGCCCACACCACCATCAGCCGCCCAAAAGGTTGCCTTGCCCGGTTCAATAGAGGCTCAAAATGAAGTTTCATTTATGCAGTCGTTGAAGAATTTAATGATGAATCGTAATTATATTTTACTTTTAATTTCATATGGTATGAATGTTGGAGTCTTTTATGCGATATCTACATTGCTCAATCCGGTTGGTTCTAACAATCAATTCAAAATTTTACATTAGAGACGTAATTGTTTTTTGTATGTTGTTATTTTAAGGTGGTTCTGAAATATTATCCCGGCCATGAAGTGGATACCGGTCGTATTGGTTTAGCGATTGTTTTATCTGGCATGTTGGGATCCGTTGTATCCGGTATAGTTTTGGATAAATCACACAAATTCAAGTGAGTTAATAACTTTTTATGACTTATGGAAATAGTAAACAAAGATTTTCTAAAATAATTCGCATTATTACGAGAGTCGTCGCAGAAGTCGTTGTCATAGACGTTTTTTATATAAAAATTTCCACAAACCGACTGATTTTTTACTACGACAATGGTTTTGGTAATAAGGCCAAAAGTTTAAGTTCGTAAAAAGAAAAGTTTTTGAAAGTAATAAGAACTTTTCCAAAGGTTTATAAAACTAATTATGTTCAAAGACCCTTTAAAATGTTTCAGAATTTCTGAATTAATATTAACTTTTATATTATAACCGTTTGATTTTGTTTCCTTATAGAGAAACAACTTTAGCGGTATACGCATTTTCCATGGTGGGCATGTGGGTGTTCGCTTTTACTTTGGATACTGGAAGCATTGCAGTTGTCTATGTTACTGCATCATTGTTAGGGTAAGTAAGATATTAGCGAGTAATTATATCAAATATCATTGACCCATTTCATAAAAATCATTTTTTAAAGTCCTACCGCCTCTGAAACGATAAACGATTTCAAACAAATAAAAAACTATATGTATTAATTAAAAATTTGGAATGGACCTACTTCAAATTGTTTCTTTTTAATAATCTGGTCTCAGAATTTATCCAAATCATGAGGTTTTCGAGATCGTGTAATAAATTCTTAAAAAACCACCGCGAAGGCAGCATTATTTATAAAATGGTTTATGCCAATTTAGATTAAAATATCTTGAATAAGGAAGAATTTAAAACAGAGGTCAAAACTTTTTTTAAAGTCGAGAGATTGAATTTTCAGGGTTTTATCAAGCTCGAACACTTGATGTAATTCTGATTGGTACTCAGCGCAACTTAATTCCTTAATCCTTTGGTCTCTGGGTTAAAAACTTGTTGGCCTATGTTACATTTAGTAAATTCTCAAAATTGCTCTTAAAACTTATTATCATTTTACAGCTTTTTTATGACTGGCTACTTGCCGGTTGGCTTTGAATTTGGAGCTGAACTTACGTACCCTGAACCGGAAGGTACATCCTCCGGTCTTTTAAATGCATCATCACAGGTCTTTGGCATTATCTTTACGTCCCTGTATTCATGGTTGTTCAGTGATTACGACGATGTAACGGCAAATGTAACAATGGCTGTAATGCTGATTTTAGGCACCATCATTACGGCTTTGATTTCTTCAGATTTGAGACGACAAAATGCTCAGATATCAAATAATGCAAACAATCCTTAGGATCGGATAGATTTTGTTTAAATAACACACAATTAAACACAATGTAAAATTGTAAGAACCTGTGAACGAGTGGGCGTGTGAGTGAGTGAGTACGTGAACACCTATGAACGGTGGAACGTGGTTTATAGAAATTAAAGAATGCCAAATTTTAATATTGTGTTATTTAAACAAAATCGTTAAGCGTATAATAATTCATTTAATATTTACTACATAGCAATAACAAAAGAAACATGTATTTTATAATTGTTATTTAATTTTAGTGTGTACATACCCTTATATTACATTTATTTATATACATGCATACATATTTTTATATTAATTTTCTTTTAATTTTACTTTTATAAGAGTTTTAAACTTAATTTGTGATCAGGAAATACAAAAATAAAATTAAATTTTTAGGAAATGATCCTTTCAAATTATTTAGCTGCACTTTGTGTAAGTACTTCTAGGTACTAACGGGAAATTTGCCAAATTTGGAAAAAAAAAAAGTTGAAATTTTTATTAGAAATTTCAATTTTTCGTTACTATGCTGTGGATTAATGAAGTGCAGATTTATTTATATAAAAAACCAAATTGGAATAATGACAATTTATAAAGTAGCTATGGCTATTTGTCATATTTTAAATTGGTGTTGGTTATTTTAAATTATACTTCTTTTTAAGTTCTAACTCTTATATTTTATCTTTGATTTTAAACAGTCAGAATGGGTTGTAAATATAAAATATATATTTTTTTCTTATTTTTTTTTTGCATTCTTCACTTAAAAAAAAAAAAAAAACACTAAAATTGTTCTTCTCACTAGCAGCACAGGTTTCGCAATTGACACATTTACTCTATTTGATAATTTGTATTTGATTAAATCTTTTCATAGAACAAGCTTTATAAACACCAAACGTACATTCCTAATATGTACCCGAAAATGTTACAAAAATTAATTTATTAATTAAATAAATATCTGCACAAATACTATACACGAAGTATTTAAACAAAAAAAAATTATTTATTGTTTTTTGAAATTTTTAGTTTATACACTGCCAAAACAAACACAAAAATAGTAAATTATTTAAATCCCTGTAAAGGGAAAAGGTACATAAGTACTAAGTACATTGTCCAGATAAATCGCAATTGCCTGTAGAAAGAGAACTAAGTGTTTGTTTTCAACAATTTTTACATAAGAAACCATAATATTGATTTTAACAAGAATTTATGGAAATTTTGAAAAATGATATCTTTAAAAAATTATTGAAAGCAAAACGCCATTCCTTTTTTTAAGCGCACTACCGATATATAGTACATACAGTGTCTAATATAAGTTTGTGTATTTTATGCTAACCTAAAAAAAAATAATGAAACTTTAAGACAATATTAAAAATTTCGGTCATATTAGAAAATAATATGGGGAATATTTATATGTTCAACTGTACGAATATTAGGTTTAAAAAAAATGTTAGACACTGTACAAATATTACAATAAAAAATACTACAATAATTACTAAAAATATCTAGTATTAAAATGTTTATGTGTTAATAGATGAGACAAAATTGTACCAAATATAATAAATGTTAACATTTAAAAATATATACACTAACAATAATTTAAATGTCTTTATTTTACAAAAATTTTAACCAAAATTTATATGTACATTAGATCGACTTGCAGAAAAAATGTTTTTTTAAAATATATACAAACATATTTGTTTGAATCTGGCGATAACCGTTCATGAGCTGGGCCATTTTTAAATAAAATATCCCAAAACGAATATGATTATACCCTTTTCAATTGTACATTTAAATAATTTTTTAACTTTTTTTTTTAATTTAAAAAAAAATCAAAATTCTGTGAATAAATCGTTAAGATAATATAAATCAAATCTTCAAAACCCCATTTTTTAAGATTTTTGGAGATATATTTCGAGCATATACATATGTTATTATTTTCCGAGGCAAATTGCATATCAAATGAAAAGTCTTTCGAATATCTTATGATATATGTATATTGACTATGTATACCTATACATATCTCATTTGGATCATATCTCCATTATTTATTAATCAAATTTGCTGATTTTTAATGTAAAACTTCTCTAAAGTATTTCTGATTTAATTTTTTTTAGTATTTTGATCCGAAAAATTTCTTAAAATTAAATTGTGTTAATTACAAGAATGACAAACTTATATACCATATCCTTCATCAACGGGAGAAGGTTAGACCTTCTTTTGAGATCGATACATCTCACGAATGGTCATCAATAGTACCAAAATCTTTTGAGAATAATCATTAAACAATGCCAGGAGTAAGCCCTGATTTACATTGAACAATTTCCTTCTATATGTATTTCTTTCTTGCTCTCAAAAACATAAACTTGAGAAAAAAAAAATAACAATGAAAACCAGGACTAACCATAACATTTTTTGTTTTCTATACCAACTGAATCGGTCTATTAACAGTTCATATCGTCAACTAAAGCGCAAACGGCACTAACAAGAAGTTTTCCGTGCTTCTAAATAACAAATGTCCAAAATACAATTTTAAAAAAGTCCTAACACTTATAGTTGAAATTAAAAGACGACTTTTCGCAATTTATGTAAACACGATTTTTTAAATTTTTTCGACTTTTCAAACATTTTTCTGTATCTTTTACTTTTACCTTTTCCTACTATTCAAATTTCTTCGACTTTTTTCCTTGTTTAGTAATAAAAAATGTTTGTTATTGCAATAAAATGTTCATTTTTAGGTCATGGAATTTGACTTTTGGATTTTTTACCAGAATAGTCGACTTTCTTAGGACAAACTGGACGACTTGTTTCAATAATAATCGGATTGTTCGAAAGTTGATTTGGAACTCTATTATCTAATTGTTTGTAAATACGAAATGGTCAATTATCAAAACAAATAAGTGGTTTCAAGGTTAAGCTAAACAAAGTTAATCTAAAGCTAGTTGATTGAATCTAAACTTGTTACTAAATTTTAAACTTTTCATTAAAATTAAAAAAAAATACAAATAAGGTTGATTGCGTTTTAGAAGACGATATGTGGCAGTACACTTGAAAAGGGATACATTCCTATTGAATCGAGAAAGTAAGAAAGTAAAAATTTCAAGAAACCATTTGTTAAAAATATTTCAATGAGTATTATTCTAAATGGAATGCAAAGATATTTCAAATAATATCTTAAAATAAAACAAACCTCATTATAGGAGGTAAATGGAAATGCTATTTTTATTTTGCATAGAGGATTGAAGTGATATAATGTAATCAATTAAAATGCTAATGAATCAAACTGACATTTCAATAATTTTATAAAGAAAAATATTTAGTTTAGTTTTGCTAAAAAAATATCTTCAGTATTATTAGTATTAAGATTTAACAGTGAAAAATTTTCACTAAATGCTCATATGTATATTTATTAAAATTATTAAAATGTTAGTTAAGATTGTTGGCATTTAAAGTGAGAATATTTGTACATAATAAAGTGTATTTATAATTTTGTATAAAAATTATCAGTTTTTTTTTTAGAAAATATAAGCTTGGCTTTATTAAATGTTTAGGGAGTTTTTTTGAACATGTTATTGACAAACGATACCATATCAATAAGAATATGACGTTATATACATATTTATATAATATACATACATATATTCTTATATACATAAATACTTATTAAATAATTAACAAATAAGCTGTCTTATAAAATATCCACAATATAATAATTATATTAAATAGTTGATGTAAATCTTTAAAATATATAAATGGAATCAAATAAAGATTATATGATATACATACATACATACAAATAAATAAAGTTGTCTATTATTACGATTTTTGGGAAAAGATAGAAATAAATGGTAAATGGTGAAAATTATTCCCTTTTTTCCTTAATAATAAAACAAATATACTTGGCAACCCGGTAAATTTAACTTAATCTCATGTTTCAAAGTAATGTGCGCAATAGTGGAACCCCTTAATTCCAAATAACTATCATTATTAAAACAATAAAATTAATACTTTACCTTAAACTTTCACACAATTTATACAATGTTTTTAATTTTTTCATATCCAGGAAGCTTATTACACCATGTTCATTCATATCTATTATACGTTGTCAATTTTGTAGTAAGAAAAGCAGCAAAGAAACGCTTTTATTTACAACTTTTATTTTCCTCCAACAACACAAAGCTTTCATCAATACTTAACCATTATCACAAAAAACGCGCGAAACGAACACCACAATAAAAAGAAAAACAACAAAACTTTTGTTAAGATGAAATTCACTTACGGATTTTATTTTCATCGTTTGCACTTTAGATTTTTCAAGAAAATTCATTAGAATGCCGTAAATAAACCATTTATCTTCCCGTCTATCGCTTTTTCGTATTTGTAACTCGGATTTTAACATTTTTAAACGATTCTGAAAGGAGCAACCACTCGCGCACGTCTATTAGTTGCAAATTTTCTTAAGTGACTGAAGGAAAACTGAACGAAAAGGAATATAAACACAAAAGCAAAACAAAGAGTTGCCATACATTTGTATATGAAATTAGTGATTTTGAAGGGCAAACAAGTTTAAGACGAAAAAAACTTAGGAATTTTGAGGTAAATTACAAAATTCTGTCATAAATTATAGTTCAGACCAAAAATCAAGTGAAATCAAGATAAATGAAACAGAATAGTGTCGAAAATTACGGTGCTTGAACTTCCTACATATATAAAGGTTTATATGATTGGAGGGCTCTCTCCGAACCAACGTGGGATACGCTGGCATTTTGAGTGTTTAATACACTGCGAACAAATTACAGAGTTAAAAAAGAAAAAATTGTATGTACAAAATTTTCGCAGGGACAATTTTTCGAGGAAATAAAAATGTCAAATACAATTAAAAATCGAAAATAAAAACTATTTTATAGTTCGAGTTGAGATTCTTTTAATCCCTAAAATGCGAGAAGTGCCTGTAAATTGCAAACTAAAGGGCGATCAAACATAGTATCCATTAAAGGTAAGTAGTACCATAACTGTTTCGAATAAAAATTTTGAAAAACTATTGACCCCTATTCTGCATTTCAATTAGAATCGAAATTTTCTACGTTTGCCAACTTTTGAATTCTGCATTTCGATTCGACTCTCGGCTACATAAATAACTTACAAAAGCGTAGGTGCGATAGTAACGCAGAATACACACATTCATAAAACATCGAAACGAAATGGAATTGCTTCTTCTTTTTCTTACAATTCAGTTTTTTGTTGGAATACCTTTTTTCGATCGTTGCGTAACTGAATGCGTAAACGTAATTTTATCATAATAAAACTGTTATTTAAATTATAATTTATATATTTCTTCAATTACTTACCAATATTTAAATTACAAATAAATTAAACACAAGTTTACAATTAATTAATATTAACAAATTTATATATTTATACGAATATTTGAATTTTCACTTTAAAATAAATATAAAAAATATAAAATGAAGCTCCAATCCAAACCACCAAATCTGTTTGTTTTATATCTTTGTAAGTATGTTGACGAAAGCAGCATAAAAAAAATTGAAACTTGTTAAATTAACTTAATGTAAAACGATTTAGATTTAAGAATCGAATATGATATTTAAAATATCATTGAATTTAAATTATCATGCATTGGTGCAAGATAAAAAAAGATACATATTTAAAAAAAAAAAACGAAAAAAATACAAACATACAGAAATATAAAACGATACCGTAATTATTAAAAATTCTTAACATCAATAAACGGATTAGTAAATACTGAGAGATTATTTTTATTGCGGAGGACCCCAGGCGCGTAACAATGTCAAGGTTTTATTGAAATATGCACACCACTCTTCACGTTCTTCCTTCGTATCAGCCGACAATAAGTAACGTACAGTAGTTGTACGTCCATTGGGTACAATGATTAAGGATTCTTGATCTGTATCCTTAGCTGGTCTTTGGCATTCGAGCAGCATTGTATTTAGTCTGGCACAAATATCTCTGGGTGCTATATTGACTTTTAGAGAAGAACACGTGTAGAGGTCAATTGAACCCATGGGTGCCTTTTTCTTTTCATCATCGGGATATTTCCAATAGTTAAGCATGGTACCGTTTAAATGGCACCAACGCCTATGCCAAGCACCGAAGCCAGAAATGTCCTCAAACATGGTTAGAAAACCCTTGTACTCTACAGATACCGAAAGCTCACAGTTCACTTTCATATGAACTACACCTTCCAGGGGGCTAACACCTAAAACTTGTGTCAAAGTCCATGATGTACGTTGAATCTCCCGTAGAGAAAATATAGCAAAACCATATTGCACCAATGCTGGTGTACGCACAGCGTGAGGTCCCGCTGGACTCTGCACGGGCGGCATTACTAAGCGATTTTCAGATGCTTTCTTTTTGGGTGTCTTTAAGCCCGACTTCTTATTGCAATTTATGTGATATTTGACCTCATGTGGCAATACCTCTCTTTGTGCTGTCATGCCATAAATTTCCAAAGTCACTTTGAAATCAGCATAAACATTATTTAATTGCAAAACATCAGGAAACTTGACAGCCAATAGACCGGGTAAAGTGGGAACTGTTTTTGTGGCTAAAACATGTTCATTGTATTTGATTAGACAAACCAAGTGGTGGCCGGAGATTGTGTCCAATGATAATTTTCGTATATAATCCTGTCTTAAAGGAATAGTAATTTCTTTGACAGTCAAACGACCCTTTTCACGAGGTGCTCCTACAGGGCGTAGAGTTTTTTCAACACGTAAACGCTGAACTTCATCCAAGCAGGCTTGTCTACGATGAGCTACATATAAAACAGTCACCAATTAATTAATATATTTCTATATATAGGGGTTTTAAGTTATTAATGGTAATTACTTGCTACCAAGAGATGTCTTTCTCCCTCTACTGATTCTGTCGATCCTGAAAACTCTATAGTGGCTGCACATAAATTCAAGGCTTGACTGGTTTGAGCAATAACCTGTTGCTGTTTACATACTTCTTCTAGTAGTTTTTTAATTTTATCTTGAACCATATTTGCATCATCTACTTCAGAATCGGATTGAGTATCCTCATCAGTCTCTTCGGTGTCTGGTTCAAAATGTAAAGAAGTTCCAGTAGCAGCTGCTTTTGCGTCCAATTTTTCCATTGCTGAGCGTAGAACTTGCTGTTCACGACATATTTTACGTATGGGAGTAGAATTAGCACTCTGCAGAACAAAGAATCAACAAAAATATGAGTATCATAACAATGGAGCTGCATAATGTTTCTTTCTACTTACATTTGCACTTTGTTGTCTTCGATAAAAACTTACAGTATGAACGAGAGTAACAACATTATCACTTTCTTTATTCACACTCAACTCTGATTTGACTGGTTGCATGTAGGATGCATTGTTTGTTGTTGTTGTGGTTGTTGATATAGCTGCTCCATCTTGTGTATTTTTATAATCCGTTTCAGTACTAACCTTTCGAAAACTAAAACTATTTGATGCGGTTGTACCCTTGCTCTAATAATTTCAAAGAATAAAACTTTCAAAATGAAAACAATTTATATAAATATGTAACTTACATCTCTAGATAATTGGCTGGAATCATCTTCATCTTCCTCGTCTACATTATCATCCAAAGCCTCATCCAAGTAGTCATCTACCCCCATTGAAGCATCGGAGGAGTTAATAGATGCATCACGAATGTGATCATCAAAATAATGGTCCTTTTCGGCATAACGTACTTCCTGCAGATAAAGAGAGTTAACATTTGAAGGAACAATTTTAAAGGCTTTAAAGAAAACATACCTTAACTTTGCTGTTCACTTGCTTATCATTACTTTCAACAACTTGCATTATTTCACGTCCCAAACTACCATTGCATAAACCAACACTGCTGTCCTCGGCGTCTGATTCCATATAACTGCCACAAAAGAGTTGAACAAATTAATACGAAATGCAAATGTGTTATGGTATAATAAACAAAGATAGACACAGATTTATTCAAATAGAATACTAAAATCTAAAGAAATAAATAACTTAGAATCTAATCATGAAGTGTTATTTGGTTTGTTTATGTTTGTAAATGTATGATTATTTCAGATGCTATTCTATGCATAATAGAAAGAGTAGACAAGAATATAAACTTTCTTCACACCTGTCTTCATTTTCATCGTCCGATCTTTGATGATATTGATCATTATTGTGGCCACGTAATGGTTGAGTTGACGCCTGCATTTCATCTGCAGTGCTTTGTGCGGAAACCGATGCTGTGGTACAGCAATTATTTTCATTGTCTGACTCACAGGACTCATTCGATTCAAAACTGGGCAAGACTGGATACAAGCGCTGTTGTGTACCCTGATTCGACTTGCGGGGACGTTTATTATCTTCGTCAATTACATCGCCAGCTAAAAAAATTATATACCATTCATACAAAGAGAAGCTTTTTAATTATGTCTACTTACGAGATCTTCTTTTTGCTGTGATGTTCGTTGTATTTGTTGACATTGGTGGCGGAGGTGGTGGAGGAGTTGGCATACTTTTGTTAGTTGGTGTAGGAAATTGCTGCTGTTGGTTAAGGAAATCTTTTTGTTTGTTAAAACGATTGGCAATCAACTGCAAATCTTCCTCGCGTTGTTTTTTAATGTCGTCTTTGATTGTACTTCCTGTAGTAGCATTGACCAGGGCAGTCACTTTGTCACGTACTTTACTATCGACAAAAGTCTTTACAACGGGTACTGGGGTTGTAGCATTTTTTGTATCTTCCGCTCTTGAATGCACAGTTGGCTTTGCTAAATTTAAATGTTTAATAATAAAAGTTATAATCTTGGAAAGAAATTATTATTAATCATTAAGAAATTTTACCTTTTGTTAGTTCATCCTTTTTGTGATTTGTGTCTTGAATAATTTTACTTATTGGTGGAGCCATGCCAAAAGCTGCTTTTGGCACTAAAGCCTCACCTTTGTTTTTTTCAAACAATTTCATACGCTCTTTCAACGATAACTCCGTCGGGTCTTTTTGTGGCTTTTGTTGTTGTAACTGATTGTTTTGAACTTGAGATTCAAATATAGCTGCACGTCCTGACACCAAACCAGGTTTAACATTTAGCAGTTTTTTCTCATTTTGTTGAACTTTCTTTTCGGCTGCAGCATTAGTGGCCATAGAGGCAAATTTATTTGCATTTAATTTGCCCACAACACGCTTTTCTTCACTTATATCTTCTTTCGGTTTATCGGTAGTTGTGCAAGCAGACTCTCGAGCAGAATCTTTAGATTCAGCAAATTCATATGAAACTTTTACTGTAGAAGATTCTCTTCTTTGAAAGCCTTGAGCTTCCAATGAATTTATTACTTTAGGATCCCATTTCAACTGTTTAATTTTATTGTTTTCATTAGAATTTGATTTTTGATCTTCCGGCTGCGAAACTGTTGTTTTATTTTGTGTCTCAATAGCTACTCTGCCTCTACTTGGTAGTTCAGGTTTTGGTGGAGGTTGAGTTGTTGTGCCATGATGTGATGTGTCATCTTCCCATTGATTGATGGTATTAGCTAGAGCAGCTAATTTGCCTAAGCGCTGATTAGGCTTGCGTAATTGTGAATCTACACTGTCCTCATTGCCTTCGGCATGGAATTTACCTTCTGTGCGATGAATTGGAGAGGATAAGTCATCTGTATTCGAGTACAAAGCCCCTAAACGTTGTAAACGATTTCTGGAAGTATCACGTATTTTAGCACTTGGCTGATCTTGTTTTTGCTCTGTAACTGCATATTTAACTTCTTTACGTTCTTCATCACTACTACAATCCTGTTCTTCAACTTGAACCTGTACCTTTAATTATTAATTAAATAATTTTAGTTTAATAATAATAGGAACAATTTAATAATTTTCCTTTAAATTATTTCTTAATCTCACCTCGACATTTTTATCAGTAACAATATTAATTTCTATACCCAAATCCATATTTTCTTTGTCCACAGCAGAGAATTGTCTTAGAATTTTTTGAGGAGATGCTGGATTAATATTTTTATCCTTATTATTCTTTTCTATTACATTCAATCTATTTTTGTTTGCACCACTGCCGTCAGCCGACACAATTGTGTGCATCGGCTTTTGTTGTTGTTGTTGTTGTGACGCCATCGCCATTGTTGTTGCACAAGCGCCACTTAATGCATTAAAATTTGAGGAAGCCTCTTTATCGCATACAGGGAATTTACTAACATCTGCATTACTAATTCCCAGAGCACGGCTACGCTGTTCTGCCTTTTCAAGCATACGCTGAAATTAAAAAAAAAATACAAAAAGGTATTTGTTTAATAAAACCTCTGAAATGTTACTAGATATTTTGCAATTACCTGCGTGAAAGGATCCATTTCGAAATTTTTTCACAGACAATATGATAATCTTAATATAATAATTGTTATGGAATATTTGTTTATAAATAAATACTTTTTTAATTGTCACTTATAATAATTATTAGTTGTTAATATTAATTTAATATTTTAAAATTTTCCAATCGCAATTTATCAATTCACAAGTTATGCCGCGACTGCGGTTGCTGTTTGCTGTTGAAGAAAATTTCAAAAATATTTTTCCAAAAACTACACTAGGTGGCGTTCAGGTCGGTATAAACACAGAGTCGTATTTTTAACAGAGTTGCATTTAATCATAAGTAGGATTGATAGTATCAAAATTCTGTATTTTCCTCGAAATTTAACAATATTTAACTTAATTCCTTGTATTTACCCAGTACCTCATTTCCGTATTTTTCGCATCGAGAAAAATTGTCGGAAAATTTATGGTCATCTTGTATAAAACAGGACGAACATATTAAATTCAAATATTTGCTTAATTTTAATGCGAACATTTGATTCGCTCGATTCGAGAAAAATTCACAAACAACAGTTTTAAACAAAATTATCATAATTTTTAAAAATTCTTTTCTTACTGGTAGGGATCTATAAATTGACTTTCGGACAATCGGCTTTTTATCGTGTCGACTATTTTGCTCCCAAATTTTGTATGTCGACTATCATGTAGCAAAAAATCGAAATGTCGGGTTTGTAAATTAATACTTTAACAGTTTGTATACATTAAACTAATTTGTTCAAATTTTTACGCGATTGCTGAATAATTCACATATTTGTAACAGTTTATTCAGCCATCTAACTTCTACCGTATTGTCCTTATGACAAGAATCTATGTATAAAAACCTAATATGGACTGAAAATATATATATCTTATGTAAAATACATTTTTGGAATTGCACAAAAACTATTAATTGAGGAAGAGGACTGAAAAAATCTGGCAACAGTATTTGTCACCCTGTGTTTCTTAAAAAATCGCTGGAATATTTTCTTCCGCTAAATTGATTTTGAGATCACTAAATATAATGAAAAGTAGCTAAATTAACAACACCGAGTGTTTATTTTTTTACAATTTTTATATGAATTTAATAATTTCTTGTTTTATATATTCTTTTTAACAATATTAAAATAATGTCAATTGAAAATAAATTAGAATTACTATGGAATGGTGCAAATACTTTACAGAACGATTTACAAATACACAAGATGCTAAAATCTTATTACATGTAAGTTGATTTGGATTTTTATCCCTCTCTGTAGATTTCAACTTATAAATAATCATTTCTTATAGAAATACATGTCGGAAAATAGCTAAAAACCATGTGCAAATTCCCAAGGAAAAGTTTGCTACCTCACAAATGTGTCCACATTGTGGATGTTTTTGGAATGACAGTGAATATAGCCTTAAATTGATACCAAAGCAATTGAAAAATAGCACGAAAGCAAAAAAATTAATAGATAAATTGGAACAAGTTCAAGGTACTACTGGCCAAGTTTTGAAGAAAAAACAAAAAAATCGTGCAAAATGGTTAAAGAAAAAGATTACCAATCATTTGGCTATTAATTGTTATCAGTGCAAACGAAAATCTTTATTAAAAATGGAAGTTCCCAAATATAAAACTCGAAAGGAGTTAGTAAGTGAAAAAGTTCAAATTGAAAAAGAAGCACCCGTGTTAAATTCTGGAAAAAAGTCTGAAAAACAACATCAGCAGATAAGTAATAAAGGCTGTAATTCACCAAGTACATTGCAATCCAAATCCAAAAAAGAAAAAATAGGAAATAAATCACAAAATATAACCAAATCCAAGAATAAAAAACAAGCCAATTCGGATACAACGAATAAAGTTATTTCTAAAACACAAAAACAGAATTCTCTTCTACAATTGGCTGCTTTACTTCAAAAACAATCAAAGGATGATTCTAAGAACTCTGCTCAGAAGAGACTACAGTCATTTTTAAAGTAAAGAAGTCATGCATAGGTACTTTATACATATATAGATATATTTTTTTATTAATATATACAAATAAAATACCTATATAGAATAATTTTTAATTTAGATTGTAAACGATTAAACTAATTGCTGTTATTTTGTAAAAATAACTTATTTATTTTATTTTTAACCTTACAATTTTCTGTGCTATGCAGAATTAGCTGTTGTTGGTTATGTTATGTACTGATACTGTAAACATTAACATAGAAATTTGTTATGTAAAGTTCATAACATCCCAGCAAAGAATACAATTGTCTTTTCAGTAACATGAATTTAATAATTTAACTTGATTTTGGTTTTTTCGCCACTAATATAGTAAATATCATAATAATATAAGTAAACCATAACACAATATACATATGTACATAATAAAATGGTTGTATCATACCCATAACAATTTTATTTGATAAATTTACTCTAGTTTTCAAATTCACTTGATCATACAGTCCGATTTCTTACAGTCCTGTCACAGAATTCTATTCTGACCGAAAGTGGAATTATTATTTTGCTCAAAACCACATTCATTTTTTAAAGTGGAATTGAAATACTTTTGAAATTATTTTTTTAAGTTTTAATTAAAATATTTACTTAAAAATTCACTAAAACAATTATTTATTTATTTATTTATTCATTATTGTAATATAAAAGCCTCATTAGGCCAATTAAACTATATTACAAAGAAAACAAAAAGCCTAAATATCAATTAAACAAAAATTGCTTATACCTAAAAAAAAAAAATCTCAAATTACTGTAACAATGTTGAAAAATATTTACTTTTCTAAAGTAAACACAAAAAACAACTTTGGTAACACTGCTTTGGAGGCAAGATCGACTCATTCTTCTCCACATTGCATGGGGCGAGAACTTCTACGTGTGTATGTATCTATGTTTGTATATGGATACATGTAGATACATTTATGTGTGTTTTCATTTCATTCGGATTGTTGCTTATTTGAGTGTTGTATTTTTCAGTCTCTTCGCAATCGTTGTTATTAATGGACAAAAAAAGTATTAAAATAAGAAAAAGAAATAAAAAAAAATACTTCAACAATTAGTAGATTTTCGTAAAACATTATGAACTACTATTAAAAATGATTCATACGCTTGCGCGAATATCACCAGACAATTTAAATCTTTTATACAATTAAACAAAGATTTAACTCCCTTTTTTTAGAGTTTAATAAAGTGATTGTGTATTTTAATAAAAAAAATATGTGTGATTATAAAAAATATAAAAACAAAAATATGTTCAGAGAATAAGGATATGCTACAAAATTTTTAAACATATAAAAATTCAATACTCCCGAAAAAGGTACATATTTGCTATTTATATGGCTAAAAATTTGCATTCATTTGTATTTGTGTATTTAGTAAATAAGTATATACATTGTTACTAAACGACTTCAAAAATTAAACTTCATTCTTTTGTTTAGCTGTCTGTACATGTGTATATTATAGTTGGTGCATAAATAACATTGAAAAAAAGTTTATTTCTTTTTTTACTTTTACTCTTTTTTTTTGTGTATTTGAGTGTATGCACTTCTTTCTTTAATAATATAATGGTAAAATTTAAAAGTTTAATAGTATTTAATTGTGGCGGAAATAGTTAAATGCGTTTTGTTTTATGACAGTAAAAAGATCTTGGGTTTGGACAAAATACAAGCTTTCGATTAAGCCATTATATACAGGAAACTCTATGGATGGCTGTAGGCCTAGGCGTTGAAAAGGGAAATATTGTATATATGTATGTATGTAGTATTACTTTACATATTTTTTTATTCTAATTCTCTTAAAGGAAGTATACGCATAATAGTTATATACAAATATTATATACATATGTATGTAATTAGTAATCGTATATGTATATGGATTTAATAACTTTTCTACAGAAATCAAAGTATTATTTTAAGGTTCATTTGTTTCTAGTTCTTGAAGCATGAAATAAAGAAATCGTTTTTTTGTGCTCAGAAAGTGTGCCAAACAACTTTATTATAAGTGAAAAGTTTAAATCGTATTTGAACTGTTCATCCATAAACTCATACCCGGTTTAAATGTAATACATTTATATATATACATTTAATGTATGTACATAAAACGTATTCAATGGTACATACATAAGTATACATGTAAGTACTACAAGACCTGCCCTATAATATCTACATAAAAGTTAACAATTAAAAGTTATTATTATAATTGTGAGAATGTTTGTTTTTGCAAAAAGAGGGGGGTTACTCCCTATGTCGTATATATTTAAGATACAGAGTAACCCGCCAGACCTTATTCATTATGATTATCGAAAGGTCTCTAAAATACCTTTTATTTAATACACTTATCGGTTAATATACATACATATGTATATATACATACGAGCTATAAAAAAACTTGATGTTTTTTTAATGAAAATTATTCTAATATTTAAATAAGATTTCCTTTTAATGCCCTGATCTAGATTTAAAATGGCCTTAAATTATTTATAAATATCGGTTTATAGCTATTATAAACATTAGTTTACGAACACTAATCGAATTTTTACTTAAACATAAAACGAACGAACGCCAAGTTATGTTACTCTCAAAAAATAATGGTAAATAAACAACAACATTTAGTTCAAGGAGAGAGACTCCTTTGAGTGATTTTTAAATTTATATATGTAAGTTTGTATGATAAGAATGAATAGCTGTTCAATGTGCGTGTCCCAGGGCTTTGTTCGATTCTTTTTAATTTATTTTAGCATATTAATAAAAAAATTTTACATGAATATAATTTAAAAAAATTTTCTCTTTTTGTTTGACCTTAGTTTAAAGGAAACCTTGATATAACAACATTCATATTCATTCATATTATGAATATAATTAAGTTTTTATGTAGTAAAAATTAATTTTGAGCAATCTCCTCAAAATTGCAATAAACAACTTTTCCTTGTTGCCACTGATTTATACTCATGAACGATCTAATTAAAAATTTAAATACATATACACTCAAATACCACAACTAACTACAATTAAACACAATCTACTGGAAATATTCTTTTGTATTTGTAATTGACTTTTGACTTTGTTTTAATTAAGTGCAATTACGGTCAATTCTCTACACAAAGCAAAATAAGAAACTTCTTATAATTGTTTAATAAAATACATGCAAAAAAAAAAGAGAAATCAAGAACCACTGTAAAACTTAATAATTAAATAATGACTCACCCAAAGACTTACTGTCTCTTATTTAAAAAAGGAAACTTTAATTTTCTTTTATTATAAAATAGAATTAATGGAAACTACTAATACATGCTTAGATATTTTAAGAATAAATATTACATATACAAACAACCATAAACAACAATTAAACCAAACAAAAATAAAATGTTTAACACATATCTGTTGTTGTTTCAGATCCCAGAACAAGTGGCGCTGCAGGAGGCCAATAACATAAAATCAACATGAAACCTTAAATTATGTACATGTAGTTAATGCCTGTTGGTCTGTTAGTCAATATCTTCCTGTTATACAAGAAATATATTGTAAAGTGAATTAATAAAATATTTAATAAATACTTAAGAACTTCATAATCGTGTACAAGTGCTCCAATTCATATCATCTAAATAATAATAATAATAATACCTTAATAGCAAAATAATATTTGCTTTTAAATTTAAATAAACGTGTGAAAATACATTAACATTAACGTATGTATGTACATTTTGTACAAGTGTATTAATATAAAATTAAAAAAAAAATCTGATTAAATATTTCTACTAAATGTAGTTTATTTAACATCTTAACGTTAATTATAGGTGATACACCATAAATAAGTTTTTTTAAAAAATACCTAAATAATAATATAAAACAATAATAAAAATAATATACAGTTTAAAATAAACCACAATGGATTTGGATATAATACAATCGACCAAAGAAGGTGAAATCACGCAATTTTTATGCGGTAAGTCTGATATTCAATCGTTTTTCATTAAAGTTACACACACATAAATTTATGTTGAGTTGTGTCTACATTAGGGGGGTAAACTAAACATTTTGGGAATACATATGTACATCTCCTGTATCTGCCATTTAAAATTTTCTATAAAATGTAAACTAGTAAAATGTGTTATAATTCTATGTAAGTGTGTTCATTATAATAAAAATTAATACTTCTTAAATAGTGCCTCGAAAAATATTTCGAAATATAACGAGCAAATTCCATAAAATCCCATTAAATCCGAAATGTTTCTCTATTAAAATAAATTTTAGTTATTACTTGCTAGCAGCTAGATTTTATCTCTTTTTATTACTCACTATTTAATTTTTTAATTAAAACGATGAAAAAAAGAAAAAAAAAACATTTACGAAAATGAAAACAATAAAATGACGTTATTTTTTTAACAATGAGATCATTTTCAAGTTGACATAAATTGTATGAAATTTTCTTGATCATTTACGACAAGAGAGACGTAAGCTAGAAAACAGAAATTGTAATAACTTCAAAAAAATACAACAAAAACATTAAGTTATGACCCTTACGTCTCAAATGAAAGACGTTGCCCTCTGAAAATTAATCAAGAAATAAGATATCTTAGAAATTTATTAAGTTTACCGAATAATTCTAATATCAGTTCAACGTTTCATAAGCCAAACGAAATATTTACATATTAAGAAGATCTTCTAAAAACTTAAGTACGTACAATTTTGTCCCTTGTTTCACAGCTGTCTTTTTTCAAATATCAATTTACCTTTAAACTTTGAGTAATATAGTATATAGTGTTTAAAAGTACTTTGGGAGTATGTCCATCCAAATTAGTACTATATCACAACAATATACCATCTTAATCTGTGTAAAATTAAAAAAAAAAAAATACTCATAATTATAAAGCTCAATAATCTTTATTACAAATTTGTATTAACATTTAACAATTTATTTCAGATGTTCGAGATTATTTCAGAGCTTCATTAGCAACCTCAGAGTATGAAAATACATCAAATATGTTCTATTTGACTGCATCGGACTCAACCGAACAACTTTTAAATCGTTGTGAATGTCTATTGAATCGGTTAAATAACCAAAATCAAAAGACGTCATCAAATGGGAAGAGTTCATTTTCACCGTTACATCAACAATGGCAATCGAATCGCGATAAAATTAATGTAGATGTTAAACAAAATCAGAATGCAACAGAAGAAGTTTCATATCTCGATATGTCAGCATCACATTATAATAAAAGTGCTAGTAAGTTATTAATTAAATTTTTGTATACTCTTGTAAAGATAACATTCTGGTATTATTTTCTACTTCTAGAATCTCCAGTGGGAAAAATCGTAGACTTTAACAGTTCTGGAGATAGCGATAAAACATTTCGGTGTTCTACACTTGTCGTAAGGCAAAACAAAAGCTTTTTACATCGCATACACGATACCATGACAACAACTACAGACGATGAAACTGATGCGGAAGATGAGGATAACGAGAATCATAATGGCAACAAAATTAATCATTTTGAAGATGATCCGCAGATCTATGATATATGTCAAGTAACGACCCAAGGTTCAGATGGTGAAGAAGATGATATAGGGCTGGAAGAGACACAGAAAGCTATTACACCAGATTCTCACTTTTCACTGCCAAATATTGATTGTCCTTATATGGACTTGCCAGCAGGCCATTTGTCTATCAAGAAATCAACAAAATACGGCCAATTGCTGCGAATTGAGAAAAGACTGTTTTTTGATCAAAGCAAGAAATATTATTGCGGCATATTAAACGATTGGTTGCTTTGTTATGCCGATGGACCAACCTCGAATAGACCGACAATCAGTCTGTATTTAAAAATACCATCTATTGAAATAGAACATTTTGGAGAAGGCAAACGGCGAGATGTTTGTTTTCAAATTACAACTTGTGATCCCAGCAAAAGATTTGTTTTTCAAGCTGTAAATGAAATAGATGCCAAAGAATGGATACATGCCGTAGAAGCGGCTATAAGGAGTGATGTAAGTGGCATAGAAGTAAGAAACTCAAATACACGTAAACTTCCCACGCCACCGGTAATGAAAAAACTAACATTCTTAAACACTTTTCAAAGAGGTAATGAAACTCTATCTACTACTACTTCTAATGATTGCATATATGAGGAACCATCGCCCACTCATCAATATGTAACAAGTCCTAGTTCAGAGAAAGACCAAAGACCAGAATTGCCTCATAAGCAAAGCAATCCTTTAGCTTTGGCCAATCAATTCGAATATGATGTTCCCAAGTGTCCACCGCAACCATTAAATTATAATTCCAATAATGACATCCTGTTGATAAATCCCTATGAAAATAATGCAAATAGTGCGCCATCACCACCACCATCTGTCGCACAAAAGACGTGTTCGAAAATTGAAGAAAATTTAGATTTTCAGGCCAAGGTTAAAGATGTCCACAGCAAATTAACTAGTCAATTGTCCAGTGGTCCAAATATTAAGAAATCACTTAAAAAATCAGTACTATCGTCATCTCAAGGTGATGCTGAATCTATTGTTACGTCCAATACATCAATATCATCACCCCCCATATCGCCATTGCCTACAGCTTCAGAATTGAAAAAGCAAAAGAAAACATCAACTCCCCCAAATAGCCCACAAAAAACACCCAATGAAAAGTCATCGTTTGCCAAAAATTGGTTCCTAAATAGGCTAAATAAAACCACCTCTTCTACAAGATCCAATCCATCGTCTCCCTCAAATTCTCCGTCTAAATGTAAACAGAGTGAAAAGGAAAATCTTCTTAACTCTACGTCAGACGTATGCGATGGGTACGATATGAGCAGCAATCCCGTGTCCCCAATACTGCAGTCTTCTTCTCCAACAAGTGGTAAAAGTAAAGTTAATATGATAATCAATCAGCTAGAGGCTAGTGGTCATTTGGCATCAATGTTTAGCGTAGATGCTGTTGCTTCATTTAGTTCCTTTTGTGACAATGATTGCAATAACTATGAACCTATTATGACCATTTCATCGCCTCCCTCTAACCTATTGAAAAAAGTTTAGTTTTCACCTAAACGTAAGAATCATCTAGTTGTAAGTAATAGGAGTTTTATGTACAAAATACAAATTTTAAAAAATTGTTTTCAAAATAAAATTGCATTGCAGTATAATCCTATACATATAATACTCGCAGCGTCTTTGTCTTTTACAGTTTTTTTTTTATTTATCTCTGACACCAAACAATTGATAAAACGAACATTATTGTTTACAATATTAAGTATAACATTTATTTTTCGTTTTGCTTTTTTGCTAATATCGTGTGTAAAATATTGTTGTATGTACTTCAAGTTAAAAATAAATATTTATTTTTCTTTTCAAAATTATTTAACAACATCAATAAAAAAGAAATGTTATTCAATTAACAGTTACATAGAAATATTTAAATATTTATTGTTTCTGCTTAGCTATTATTATTATTGTTGTTGTGTGGTTTTTAAGCTTGATTATTGATATATTATCACAAAAATATCAGTAAAAAATAGTTGTTTTTCGCATTAAAAAGGAAACATTTCAAATCAAACAAACTGAATAATATAAATGTGTTTGTTGTTATTGATACTTTTATATAATAATTAAATAATACATTAGTTTTTTTAGAAAGCAGATCAAAGTAGTTAATGATTATGAAAGTAAAAAAAAGAGAATCAAATATAAATAATAAAAAATATTGTATTTTGAATACACTTGTGCGCGCATTTACCGTTTCATTCTATGAAATATTACGATGAGATTCGATTGCTTCAAGCAGTTTTTCGCGGCGTTTTTTCAGGGGCATCATTATAAGCTTATGCTGTTGTTCGCTGGAATTAAACAGACCCAATACTTTCTTTCCCTCCTTCTTTAAGAGAATTTCTATTCCACGATCAGTACTGCTAACTCGTTCCATTTCTGACCACAAATATGTCCATTGTACCTAAAATATATGAAAAATTAAGAATAAATATGTAGGCGTGTATATGAAATTGTTAATGCTTTTCTTACACTCCATGATCCAAACATATCATTGCGCGTTACATAGATAATACGATGATTCGAAACTACAACATATTCCTGTTTTGTTATAATTTCCTCACAATGAACAAAGTTATCAGTACTTGCATATTTGCCTTTATCAATTTCTCTATAATATGTAAGGGAAAGAAGTTCAGTAGTACATAGACTTTCCAGTTTTATTTATTTATATGATACATACTTAAGCAGTTGGTTGCCTTTAGCTTCGTCCAAACAATATTCTCTCAATATCTTATCTTCGTGTATGAAGCGTGGAGGTCTTAGGCGTCTTGTCTCACTTTGTAATTCAGTGGCACGTTTTACGGAATCAAAGGTACCATGGGCAAAGTCAACAATGCCTGCAGTAGGCCTTGTTACCAAGCCTATTGTTCCTTTGCCGAGGCCTTTGAAAAAGCCTTCAACACCTTCTTCTTTGGCTCCAGAAATAGGCTTTGTTACACAGCCAGTAACACCGTCCACAAAGCCCTATAACAAATAACAACAATTACACGAGTTTATTTTTAAGATTTCTCTTCGTTTTAACTTACCATTACTAAGCCTTTGCCACTACGTGCCATTCCTTCCTGGAAAGTTTTCGGTTTAGCATTCATATTTTGTCGACGCTTCTTTTGATATTCTTCATCAAATGTAAGAACAGCTAATCCTTTGCCCATAGCTCCGGTTATTCTTAAGAATAATAAAATAACAATTAAAATGGCGGTTTGTCCTTCATTTTGTTTTAAATATTACTTACTTAGATACTGCTCCCGCAGCTCCACCAACAGTGTGACCAACTAATGATTTCACACCTAAAACCAAACCTTCAGCAAATTCGCCAGGTCCCTGTATAGCTCCCTATATAGTAAAACATTAATTAGTAGTGTTTTTAATTTCCAAACATTTTTTACTTACTTGGAAAGGTTCGTAAAACAAATCCTCAACGCCTTTTTTAATGCCAATTACCAGGCCATAGGGATTGCCCAATACATCTAAGCCCAATACTAGAACATAAATCTGTTTCAATGCTTGCCCGGTATAATGCGAGGTGATTTCAGAAATCAATTGTTCTTGAGTAAAGAAACGATACTCTCTTTCGAAGAAGGCCAAACGAATAACGACATCATTAACATCAGTTAGTGTAACACCAACGCCTTGAACTAACTTCGAAAGGATGCCAGGAAGAACTGAAGTATCAACACCTGCCATAGAGAAACTTACATGAACTTTCATTGGACCCAGATGTAAATTGTCATAGAAATTCTTTTGTTGTTGCTGGGATTGTATCTGTACTAAATCGGACAGAGGCCGTACAATGGTATCAACATCATCCTTGAAGAGTTTAGCCTCTCGTTCATCGTCCACAGTATTGGTGAAAAGTTCAGCTATGGCCATTAGGAACACGAGATCCACTTTGAAATGGAATTCCTGCATTAGCATTTTGGCATATTTGTATTGTTTTACATTCGAATGAGGCACAACTCTCTCAACAATACTGACTTCAATGATGGGTTTGAAGTGTATTGTTTTAGCCAAGGTTTTCGGAGGAGGTATAGGAGCCAGGACAACGGGGAATATGCAGTCAGTAAGTTGATTGTCCAGCTGGATGCGATTGATTTTAGCATGAATTTGCGATTGGAAGGGCGATGAATTTAGAGCAATCCATACACCAGGTTGGAAATAACGTTTTATATCACGCGTTACATTGTTCTTAACCATTTTCAAACTGTCGAAATTAATCTAAAATTAAACAATTAATTATAATTAAGTTATAATAAAAACGGAATATGAAACATACCTGATGTTTTCCCTCCAACATATAACATTTATCTGTAACACCATGTACACCTTTATCTACTAAATACTCCTGATAAAGGGCTTCCATCAAAGCAGTATCGTGCAAGCTTAATTGCTTAAAGCGTTTTTTATTCTCCTTTTTATATTCCCAAATAACGCCTGTAAAAGTAATATTCCAGTTTTAAATTAATATTAATATAATTATATAAAAGATAAATAGACTTACCAGAGCTTGTTATACCCAAATATAAGATATCAACACCAGTCTCATTGTTAATTAGTGATAAACCAATGCCATGAATTTTTACTTCAATCGATTGCGTTATACTCTGCAGTGCAGTTGAGGTTTCGGACTTGGTAACTATTTCCTCACATTCAGTAAATAGTATCACTCTCTGTAAACCGTCCAAAAAGGACACCCAATACACTTTTGTATTATCCTCCAAACTGTAATAATAATTGCAAATAAAAAAATATATATGGAAGCCTTTTTCAAGTCGATATTTATATGCATGCGTTTACTACTTACGTTACATTACCAATGCCATCTCGTCTCAAATCACTTTCTAGGCCATTTTCGCCAAACACCAAGACTCTGTCTCCTGCTGGATTGGACCAAGTGTATAGCACTTGTTGACGCTGTTGCAAGACCATTTTGTTTCCGACTCCCTTTTCATGGTAATAAATGGGTTTTCTGGTGTGGTTAATAAGCAGACCAGGAGCATCGCCTGGATTATATTCAGTAAATGTTATATAGATGCCGCCTTCCGTGGTTTGTACATCTACATTTATACCACCATTCTAGAAAGCATCAAAAAATCGTATTAATAACAGCATTTAACAAAAATTAACCGATTTTACCTTATTAGTATTTAGTTGTAATAAATTACAAATGGGCTCTGAATATTTAAAGGGTACAGTACGTTGGCCATCTACTCTAGCCACCATCATATGATCAGAATCATTTTTGGGCCACAACGGGAAACAGCCATTAGGCAATAACTGGTTAAATTAATAATAAAAGTCATATTAATATTTGATTCCTTTAACTTAACTAAATTAACTAAAAATTACCTTTGTCCAAGGATCGCCAGGTCGTGAACTCTCTTGAATTTCAATAACGTAACTACATTTGTTGGTTATGGTGTAATAAGGAATAAACGTAATTTGTTTCGTTAACGAGTTTTGCGTTAAATGATTATGGACACCGATCTTTACGAATAATACAAAAATATAAAGGCATTTTTAAAATATCATCAAAATAAATTAAAATTCAATAAATGTACAGATCGTACCTGATAAGTTTTATCATTGGCTTTACAGCCAACTGAGCCAGTTGAACCAGCCACATCTAAAGGTATTTTATTACTCCATTCACCATTTTCAACTCTAATTGAACAACTCTTCTTATCAAACAGATACTTGTCTCGCAATGAAAACAGTATAGGACCATTATATTCGGGTGGATGGTACAATACTTCTACAGTTTCGCTATCGGTTTTATAGCTTAGCATCTCTCCAGTCTTATTGATTAACCAGAAAGGTGAGAAGAGTGTTATAAGTAAACTTCCATTACGATCTTCAAACCTATTAAAAGTTAGTGTTTATAGTAAGTATAGTTTGTATTAGTTAGAAAATCTGCACCAACTTACTTTACACACAAATCCATGCTCATTTTAGCATCCGAATCATAAGAGTTAAATTTCCAATTGGTAACATCAGGATGATTTTCCGAGATTTCAGTAGTACATGACCAATCACGCTCCAAATATTGAATCATCTAAAATTTTTAGATACAAGTTATAATAATGCGTGTAAATTAGAAAATGTGTTTATATTATAACTTACCCTTATGACTAAATAGCTTTTAGAGTCTTTGCTACGCCCTGCCAATTTGACTGTGGGCAAATGTAAAACACTGCCGGCTTCAATGTCCTTCTCGCCATAATCTAATAAGTCTTCTTTTACGAATGAATGATCACTTTGGTGTAGAGGTTTCTTACTATCAGTATCAGTTTCGGGAGTAGAGGTAAATGATTCCTCTGTTTGAACTGCCAAATTAGATACTGTTTCACGCACTGAACACCCGGCTACCGAGACTGTTATATTGATAGGCAACGCATTACGCAGATACACTGGTGGTCTTAAATGCAAAGTATAGTAAGCACTTAATAATTTAAATTTATTTGAGTGTTCATGATAAATTTCGGTCTTTTCGCGGCTAACATTTATGAAGAATGGTTCAAATGTCTCGATGGGATCGCATTGTAGGTGACGCATATAATTCATATCGGTAGGACAGTCATCCCATTTTATGCCCTGAACTGATGTATGATAGTCCTGTTTTAAGTAAAAAAATCTTTATGTTTGTAATTTTTCAATATTAGCTTGGTCTTACCTCAA